CCGCGGCCCCGGGCGCCCCCACAGCGCGGCCGGCGGCGAGGGCGGAGCGCCCGGGGAGCGCTCTAGAGACAGCTTGGGGGGCCTGGGCTGCTACCTGGACTGCTGCGCAGCCTGTCCCGGGGCCACGTCCTCTCTGGCCTCAGTTTCCCCCTTCTGTAAAGTGACCTGACCCAACGGGCCCAAGACTGATCTGAAAAGAATGGGCACTTCTGCTGATATTGGAAGGGGGTAGTTAGGGTGACTTTAGAATGTGCCCCTAATGTGCAGCGGAGATGGGGGGAGCAATGTCTAAAAAGGCCCAGCCAACCCTGGCCCTACCAAGCAATTGGGCCCCTGGGGTAAGAGGCCTCCATGGAAGGAGGGTGGGTCAGCCCTCTGGGGGGAGGGCTGTGAAGGAAGCTATAAATACAAGGGGCAAGGAGGACTTTGCTGATGACAGAAGCAGAAGAGGGGCATACTTGGCCTGAGGTCCACCCTGAATCAGGTGTGGACACGCAGGGGAGGACTGTGTGTTGGTGGGAAAAGTCATACTCAAGGGGAGGACCCTCCCTGCTGGACTAAGATGGGCCCTGGGCACAAAGTCTGCAGTCCTTCGGAGACAGCAGGGCTCCTACGGTGAACTGTGAGATGCAAAACTCCTTCCTCCAGCAGATTCAGGGACACCACAAGTCTGCAGTTGACTCCCACCCAAACCCTGCCCTAGAGGTGGCCCTCCCCCTCCCCCAAAGGTCCAGGGCTGATAATAACCCTTTTGTAAAAGGAACACTCTTCTGAGTTACCTTCCCGGGATGATAAGTATGGGGTGGGGGGGGGCACTGTCTCTGCTTCTTGGGGCTGACCAAGAGAAGGGTACTTCTCAGAGGACTCTCTCCCCTTTCACGGGACCACCCTATTGGGCAGAGGACTCCCAGTTTCTCTCTCTCAGGACGCTTCTGCCCAACCCCCACCCTAAGCATTGCTGTTTCAGACAGAGCCCTGACTCCAGGGGGCCAAGTCAGAAGCCCAGAAGGTCTGTGCCAGGGACTGGCTGCCTCATCCAAGGGTTTCCCCCAGAGCCTAGATGTCTGTCATTCCCTCAGCAATCCACCTTGGGTCACCCAGAGGTAACTCTGGGATTTTCCCAGCTGCCCATGACTCCCCCAGGAAGAGTCCCCTCCACCCATTGCTATCCTGGGCTGTCATACTACGGAGATGGTGGAGGCTAACTTGGGGAGAGGCTAAGGACCAGAGGCCACAGGGTAGGCTGGCCCTCTCGTGGAAGGCGCGGTGGCTGCCAGGTAGTTCTCATAGGAGTCCAAACCTCCTGGCTTACTCTATGTTGGCCCATCTCCGGGAGACCTCCCTGCTAACCAGACCCCGTGGAACCCACTGGTGCCACAACCTGCTGTGAGCCCCATACCCAGTCCTGTTTTTGCTTCTCAAGACTGGGGTATCCCAGTGGACAAGGCTGGCCTCCTCTGGCCAAGGAAGGGATAAGGAAGGGGAGGACAGAGCCCTCTCTTGGAGAATATACCCCTCCTGCATCACCCCAAATGGATTGGCTGCTTTGGGGACAGCTGAAGTGCTGTGACCAGATGTTTCCAGCAAAAACTGCTGTGCCCAGCCCAAGAGAAGGTGCCACCTGCCCACTCTAGGAGCCCAGGGGCCTCAAGTCCAGTCACCTCCTACAGCTGGTGGCCGTGGGGCAGGACTCAAGGGCCCTGGGTTGTGTGATCTCGGCAGCAGCTGCAGGGCTGGGCCTTGGGGCAGCTTCCAGGCCAGATGGCTGCCGAACGATGTAACTTCTACTGTAGCTTCACAACAGCCTTCTGTCTGTCATCTCTGCACCTAAGACCAAGCCAGTGGAGAGGGAATCTGAGGGCTGCAGGCTGGCCAGGCTTCTGGGACCCACTCTGGGCTTCCTGGGACAGCCCCTCCTCCTGGAGTGCTGGGGCAGGAGGATGTAGAACTCAGATGTTGCTCCCTCTCTTCTCGCCCCCTTTTGAACCCCTCCCTAGCTGGACCTTCTAGGTTCTGCCCCAGCTCCTGCAAGAGCACCTGACCCTCTGAGCACCATAGCCTCAGTCAAGAGCCCAAGCCTTGATTTGTCCGCCAGCGGGCAGGGCAGGCAGGAGCACACATGAACTCTGCCTGTCTGTCCAGAGCCCCTGAATGATTGCCCCCCACTCCCAGCCTTGAGTGTTCTGGGTTAAGGCTGGGCATGGGAAGCAGTGCTGGAAGGATGGTGGAACTAGCACATATCCCCCCACAGAAGCTGCCGTCCAGCACTCACTCAACAAACATCGACTGCACGTTCACTGGGTGCCCAGCACAAAACAGTAAGGAAACAGGAGAGATGTGATACCCTAGGGTCAGGGCACAGGGAGTGCCAGAGAAGGCTCAGGCAGGAGAGGAGGGTGGCAGCAGGTGAGGCAGATCTTTACTAGGGTGGTGCTCAAGAAAAGCCACCCTGGAGGAGGTGACATTGAACTGGAATGAAGAGGAGCGAGTAAAGGGAACATTTGGAGAACATTCCAGAACATGAGTGACCAGCAATGCAAAGGCCCTAAGGTCTTGCTGAGCGCCAGACCTTGGGGAAGCACTCAGATCCCCACTCTGCATATAAGGGTTGCTTCAGCCCAAAGAGGTCAGGGGCTGGCAGAGCTCAAGGCCCAGAGGGGCAAGGGCAGGGCACTTCCCCAGGTAGAGCCAGGTGGAGGCAGTCCAGTCTGGGTGCACCCAGAGCTTACAGTTCCTGCGGAGGGCAGGGGAGTGGATAGAGGGTAGGCAATTATTTAAATTTGCCTCCCCAGGAAGAAGTCCTCAGGGCAGACAGATCCCTGATAAAGGAAGCAAGGGCTCTGCTATCTCTCTGAGGGTCTGAGAAGCTGTGAGTACACTGTGATTCCAAGGCTCCCAGCTGCAGCTGCCAGGTTTAGGAAATAAACATGCAGAACATCCGGTCAAACAAGGAATAACTTTTTAGTGTAACAATACGGCTTTCCTTCCCACAGATTTTGGATGTAATTGCAGTGGGCTCCAGTCTTCCTGCCCACACTCACCTGGCCAGGGTCCTACTCCTTATAACCCAGCCCCTCCTGCTTTGCACCCCCACCCAGGTCAGAGCCTTCTGACCCCTTCTAGCACCAGCCTGGCCAGTGGACTCCATGCCCACATCCTCCATCCTGGTTCCCAGGGGTGTGGAATGAGATTGCCTGTTGTGTAGCCCTGGACATCTTCCCTAAGCTCCCTCACCAAGACA